TATCGGTTTTTGTATTGTTGTTGTTTTAAGACAGAAAATATATTTGTTGTGATTTCATATATATTATTTTTGTTAGAATATATTTTATTTATTTATTCTTTTGAGTTTTTTGTTAATTCTGTTATTATTATTGTTGTTGCTGTATTTGTGATTTATCATTTTTGACCTTTTTATTTTTTTTTTGTTTTATTTTATTTTTTTTTTTTTGTTATATTTGAATTTTTTTAATTTTTGATGATTATTGACTATTGTTTTTTATATTTTATATTTATTGTTATATTAATTTCTATTGTTGATGATTTTGTTGTCTCTATGATTTGTATTTCCTTTATAATTAAAATAATATTATTAAAAACTAATATATATATATAATAATTATATAATATAATAATATTTGTTTTGTTTTTTTTTTACTATTTTTGTTTTCTATATAAATTTCTAATGTAAGATAAGCAAGAAAGCATTTCCAAGTATCATGAACTTACATAAATATAAATTTTTTTCTGGTTGTGTATAAATTTTTTTTTTGTTTTTTTTTATAATTTTTTTTTTTTTTGAAAATTAAAAAGAAAAATTACAAAAGTTTTTTTAAAAATTAAAAATTTGAATTTTTTTTTTTCTAAAGAACTTTTTTCAACTTCGTCATTATTAATATTTTTCTTAACAAATTTTTTTTTAATTTATTTCCTCATTTTTTATAATTATATTAATTTTGTTATATTGTTTTTTTTAATATTACTGATATAAATAACTTTTGTTTTTAAATCATGAACTTATCTCTTAATTTTTTTTAATTAATATTTATTTTTTTATTATCATTTTATATTTACATATGAATATGTATATATACGTCAAATTTATATATATATATATATATATGTATATATATATGTATATATATATATGTGTTTTCTAAATATTTCCTCTGATATATATAAATTTTATTTAATAATTTTTACTAAAATTACTAAAAATTCTTATTGACTTTTAGGCGATTATTAAATTTTATTTTTAATTATTGATATGAAATAATTTTAAATAATTAGTAGATAAATGTATTATAACTGTTATAAATTTTTAATAATAATAATTTTGAAATTTGAAAAATGAATGAAACTAAAATTTAGATCTTGCTTTTTAATTATTAAAAATGTTTTCAATATTATTAATAATAATTAAATTACAATTTAATATTTGAAAACTTAGAAAAAATTCTAAAAGATGTCGTACATAGGTATTTGAGATATTTTTTTGTTATTAACATTTTTTATAAAAGAAAATTATAAAATTAAACTTAAAATCTCTTTTTTTTTGTTTTGTCTTCCAAAATAGTATATAATATACATGTGTATATGTATATATATGTTTGTTTTTTTTTAATAATAATTGTTATTTTTTAAAATTATTTATATATATATATATATATATAATTGATTAATATAATTATTGTGTTTTTTTCTGTAATAATAATAATATTTTTAATTGTTTTAATGTATATTTTCAATTTTTTTTTTATTTTATTTTGTTTTTTATTGTCAGTCACAGCTAAATATTTTTCTTTGTTTTAATATTATATTTAATTTATATTATACATATATAATATTATAATGTTATTTATAATTTCACAATTAAATTTTTATGTTCTACAACATTGAAAAAAATTAAAAATTGAAAATTTTGAAAAAACAAAAAATTTAAAAATAAATTAAAAATTAAAAACAATAAAACATAATTATTTAAATAATATAACAGTATTTTATATTTGTTATACAAAATGAATTAAAATTACGATTATTTTAAAAACCTTAAAAGTTAAATATTTTTTGGGAACTTTGAAGATTGACTGTCATTCATTATATTATTAATAAAATATATAAATAAGATTTAAATATTATTTCTATATGCGTATAGGTAGATATTTTAAAATAATTATGTAACATATTTATATGTATAAATTTATGTTTATTTTATTTATTTAGTAATTATTTGAAAAATTATATGCTATATAAATAAATAAATTTATGATAGTAAAATAGAATTTAATTTAAGAATTTTTGAAAATAATAGAAAGTGTTATATAAGAAGAAAACAATTTTGTATTATGAAATATATAATTTTAAATACATATATATATATATATACATATGTATATATATTTAAATATTTATTATATAATAAAGCTTTTAATATATGTGATGTTTTTCTTTTGAATATATCTTATTAAATTTATGTTTGTATAAATACAAAAAATTAAATTCTTAATATATAGAACCAGAAATCCAAATCTAATCTTAAACCAGAAATTATTATCGATTGGTATATAACACGTAAATATACAATTATAAGAAATAAAAAAAAAAACAATTCTTCATATAATATGGTATGTCCACATGCAAAATGCAAATTTAACATATTCAGCAATTAAAATTTTAATGGCTGAATACCAATATATTGGAAATTAATTTTCATTTAGATATGACATTGTTTTAAAATTACTGTAATATTGTGTTAATATGCTATTCAGCAACTATAAATTAATTTATGTATGAACTAAAATATTTATTAATACCGTATATAACAGTATACGGTATTAATAATGAAAATAATTCAAAGTGGAACAACTAACTTAAAAAATTTCGAATTTATTTTATTTAACAATTAAATTTTAATTGCTGAATAAATCGGTCTATAGCGTCTTAATTTTTAGAGACCTCTTTACATTTTATTTTACATATATTTAAATTTAGTAATGTTTGAAATTGGAAAAACAATATGAAAAATAATAATAGTTTTTTATAATTAAAAAAAATTTTTTTAATTTATATATTTTTAATTTTCTGATTAACACTTAATTAATTTTTATTTTTTTTGTTATTTTTATTATTAATTTAATATTAATAATTTTTGTTTTTAATTATTATATTTCATGAGGTCTTTTCTTCTAATACCTATGCATATAATATTATATAATTATAACTTCTGTTCTATATATAATTTTGTTTTATATATAAATATTAAATTTAATTAATTATTATTTAATTATTAAATTTAATGTTTTTTATTTTGATGATGATTTCTTTTTGATGTTGTTTGTTATTTCTACTTGACAATATTCTGTATAAATATGATAGCATTTTTTTTTTTATTTCCTTTACATTTAATATTTTAATTTCTATATAATTAATTATATTTTTAATTTTATGTTCAAGTTATACACATAATGATATATACATATATATATATATATATATATGTATACATATTTATACTGTATTATTTAATTTATATATAAATTTAATAAAATGTCGAATTTCAAAACGAATTATTTTTGTTATTTTAATTATTTAATATTTTATTATTAATTTTATAGAGTAATAATATTTTTATTTAATTTAATTTCTTTTTATTTATTATTAATTAATTATCCACCCAACAAAATTTTGTTGAATTTTCGTTTTCTATTTTGTTTTTCGTTAAATTTTGTTTTTTTTTTTTTAAACTATTGCAGTTAAATTTATAATTTTGAATAGATTTTTATTATAATATTAAAAATGCTAAGATTAGTAATTGTAATAATTAATTATAGAACAAGTAAGTATATAGTTTATATAGATCAAATAATTATTAAATTTATTAGAAAAAATTAAAATATTTATTCTTTTTATAATTATAAAATTAATAAATGAAGTATAGGTTAAAAATTTATAAAGAATATTTTTGTAAAGCAACAAACAAAATTATAAAGATTTTTTTAAAATATAATAATTTTTTTATTTTACATTGTCCGTTTCTCAAAATGAATTTGGCGATTATAATAACAATGTAAATTATTTTGGATTTTTACTATTATTTAATTTCAATTTCAATTACAAATATATAGTATTTACTTTTTTTAATAATTTTTAACAGTGACAATAAGTACGTTATTAGTAAAATACATTAAATATATAAAATAAATTAAATTAATAATTTTTACTGTTATTCAATAACTGTAATTATTATACTGCTATATGATATTGTATAATACTATTATAACATATCGTATAGTATGGTATAATAAGAATTATAGAATATATATAGCTGAAATTTATTAATTTTGTATAGGCCTTTTGAAATAATGAAGATTTATTGAATTTTATTTATCATAAATTATTTTTATACTGAATTTTGCTTATATATTTTTAAATAGCTTGCTTAAAATTTTTAGATTTCAATCAGCAATTTCATTCGCAAGTTGCTAATGTTTTTTTTCGACCTCTTTCTACATTTATCATCCGATATGCTTTTGTTCCATTTTTATCTATTCTTGGAGAGATTTTGGTGCATTTCAATGCAAAAACTTAAAATAACAAAAATTAAAATAATTTTTCCAATAATTATTTAAAACACAAAACAATTATAAATTTAAAAATTAAATTATGAAGTATAAAAAAATAAACTGTCAATTTTGACATTTTATCAAAACGAATGTCAATTTTGACGTTTTTTTTTTTCGTTTCTTATAATTTGCATTTGATTTCGCATTACAATTTTTTTTTTACATTTAAATATAACATTTTTTTTATTTTTAATTATTTTAAATTTGTTTTTTGTTTTTGGAAGCCCTTATGTGTTTTGTTTTAATGATTATTTTTTTATTTTTTAATTATAGTTTTACAATAATTTGAAGTTTACAAGAATAATATTAATAATATTATATAGGGAAAAGTGTAAAATTATTTTATGTTTTTTTGTTTTCGTTCATGTTTTTCTGCTATAAACTGTTAGTTTCGTTCCGTTATGTTATATTATATAACAATTTTATATAACATAACTGTTACATTATATAACAGTATTATATTATATAATTGTTATATTATACAACAGTATTATATTATATAATTGTTAAATTATACAACAGTTTTATATTACAAGACTATTATATAATATAACAGTTTTACATTATATAATTGTTATATTATATAACAGTTTGTAGTTTTGTTTTATTTTTCAGTTTTTTACAATAAATATTTTCTTATTATTACAATTTATTTGAAGTGTTTTTTTTTTAAATATTGTAAATATGTTTATTTGTGTATATAAGAAAAAAAAAAACAAATAAAATTTTCTTAGTTTCAGATTATAATTTTTTTTATATACATGTACATATTGTTATATTAATTAGTATTATATATTTTTACATATAATTATTTTGTATTTTTTTAATTTAAAAATATAATATTCTTCAAATTATATAAAATATATAGGCAAAATTTTAGGATATTATTAAAATTATTTATTTTATATTTTTATATATGCATATAATATACAAGTATTTTTGAATATAATATGGAATTGATTTTATTATAAAACTGTTATACAAAAGTGTGATATAATGATAATAATGATTTTAATGAGAAATGAATAATTATTTGCGAAAATAATTTTTTTTTTTGTAATTTTATTAATTATTAATTCTATCATAGATGTTATAATTATGTTATACATATTTATTTATAATTATGTTATATATGTATTTATACGTTAGGTATATAACAAAGTGCACCGCTCGATTGAACAATAATTTTTTTTTTTTTGAATAACAATTGAATCTTTGTTTTTTGATTATCTTTTTTAGTTGAAATTGATCGCAGAGTATATTTTTTTTTTATTTGGTTTTTTTTCTTTAAAATTTGTTCTTCATTCTTTCAAAATATGTATGTTATATATGTTATATGTTAATATTATTATAATATTATAAAAAGATTTGTGCACCGAATTTTATACATATTATATATATTATAAATTCGGCTCTTTTATGTGTTATACAAATATTTTATTATAACTGTTATAACTGTTATATTTTATTGAATAATTTTTATATTTTTTATAAAAATAAAATCAATTCCATTTTATAATTTGTGGCGAATAATATACAAGTAATTGTTTGAATCCTAAAATTTTAATTAAAAATTTTGGAAAGACTTATTTTATAAGTGTGTTTGTTTGTTCGTTTCTTGTTTTTCTATATATTTTTATTGTATAAATTTAATTAATTTGTTTTTTATTTTTTTTTTTCATATTTATATTACGTGATTTTACAAATTTTCGTATTGTATTTTTTTTAATTTTCTTTCGTTATTAATCCACTTGTTGCATATATTCTGTTTTTTTTTCAATCATAAATTTTTTTATTCATTTTTAAATTATAAACTATATATTTAAATAATTAATTGATTTTATAGGGATTTTTCATATAATTTTTTATTCTCAATTATAATTCTCTTATATACTGTAAATTTATAAATTAAAAATTAAATTAAAAAATAATTATTTAAATAAATTTTATAAAAGTTTAACAATCAATTGTTGTTTAATGAAAAAAATAACATTAATAAAATATAATTATATTTTAAATAAAAAAAGAAGAAAAATAACAAGTATAACAAATAAAACTAATGAGATTTCACATAATTTTTGTAATAGTTACAAAATTTTTAAGAGCATAATCTAACCTAAAATATTATTTTAAATAAAATTTATAGGTCAGAAACAGAACGAAGAAGTAAAAATTAATTTAAAAAAAAAAATAAACTTTCATTTTCTTTTCCATTCTTTTTTTCATTTAATTTCAATTATTAAAAAAATGGTGGTTTATCGCAATTGCACAATGACCCGCCATCACCAGATTTACATAAATCCTTGCAAACTTTTTCCCAATTTGGTGTTGTTGGTATAGTTTTTTGTTTTCCATCAACACTACTTGAACTTGTTGTTGTTGTTATTATTATTGTTGATCCTGTAGATTCAGTGATGATATTATCTTTTGAACATATTGAACAACCAGTTATTGTTATATCATTATATTGACAAAATGTATGACATATTTGATTACGACCCCATAAGTTACTATCACCACCACTTTCAAAATCATTTAATTCATTAGATTCAGAAATTTGAAATACACGTTTACCACATGAACAAATTTCATCACCTGAAACAAAAATTTATTTTAATTTCTATTTGTTTTATTAAAATTTTATTTTAATTTCCAATATTTTTTATCTCTCAAAAGCAGATTTTACTTTATTTGTAAGAATAGTAAAATACTTCGAATTTTTGGTAAAACTTGTATTCGAATTTTTGGTAAAATTCAGAATTCGTTTTGGAAAAGAGCATCATATAGAGTTTATAATCCACTACTGTCCTGACTAGGATGCCTCAATGTTTGAATTTTAATAATATGAAACTCATAGCTTTATATAGCATAATTAAAATTTTGAGTCTGGTATTCGCATAGTCAAACCCTGAAAATTTCTATATTAATTTTCTTTCAGTATATATGAGAAATTTCAAAATAAAGCGTTCGAAAAATGTGTTAAAAAAAGTGTGTGAACCAAAATCTGAAAATAATAATAAAGAAGTTCCAGAAACTGAATTTTAACTCTCATATTATCAAAATTGTTTTTTTAAAATTGGAAGTTCCTGTTATTACGATTAAAATTAGAGTTTCTGGGATTACTCATATCACATTGTCTTACATAATTAATAATGGAAACAATTTACTGGAAAATGCTTAGTAAAGAGTAAAATATTATTTTAATTCCAGGTTTTTGAATTATATATAGCTTTTAGCTTTCGATTTCGACCACATATTTATGCAATATTTAGATACATATTAATCACTCCAGAAAAATTTCAATTGATGCAGATTAGAAAATTTATAATATAATAGTTAGTAATTATAGGTACCTTCAAATATATTCTTAAGATTTCATTATAAATTTATGACACATATTAGAAGCAGTAATAACTAAAAATAAAAGTAAAATAGCCTTTTGGTATATTATAGAACTTACACCGAGTTTCAAAGACTAGCCTAATAAAAGGATAACTATAACCCTAATCGGAAAAATTATTTAAAGATTATAAACCACATAAATTTACATAGATATTTTTCAGAATAAAATCATGAATTATTCAAATGAATTCATAGATAACCAATAATTATTTTCGATTTTCATTAGCATTTCGATTATATTAAAAAATCGAATAGCAATGTGGACAATTTAAAGCAAAAAATAATTGTTTAGCCTTAAGTTTACGGTAATGCCGTAATAAGTTTTTGAAATTGACTTTAGATAATGATATTATTGCAATAAGGAGCTAAAAGAAGTTTAAACAATAAAATTGTATTTGGAAAATTTTAAAAATTAAAAATGTGTTGACAATAATATTCGCAGTGTTATGAAATTTTGAAATTTATATAGCTATTAAATAAATTTTTATATTAATTAATTTTATAAATGACGAATAAATTCAAGAACAAAATTAATTACTACACAATACTAGTGACTTTATAATTGTTTGTAACAGCACAAATATATTAACTGTTTTTCTAATCATTAATTGGATAGTAATTTGAACCGTGTATCAATACCGTACTACTGCAATTTTTAAGTCACATAGATACTCAATAATTTTCCAATAACCCTGACAAAATTCTTTAATCTGAATTTATTACGTGCCATGATACTATATTATTGAATTCCAATTGGAGTTTTCATTGTATTCCAATTTGTATTGATTTAGTTCCATGATATAGAAATGCAATATTTTAATATTATACACATTTTTTTTACTTACCAAGTTGGTATTTGCATAAATCTTGACAAATTGATTCAACATTATTTTCAAGCAATCTATTTGCCTTCGATGTGATGTTATACTTTTTACTAGCTTCTTCTTTTATTTCATTACATGTGGGTTGTATCCCACAAGTGGGACCACCCAACCCAGCTCTGTAAAACAATAAAAATAATAATGGTAACAATATTAATTACTAAAAATTAATTAAATTTAGATTTTTTTTTTTGTTAAGTTCATGAATAAAATATTTTAAACAACTTAATTAATAAATTAAATTTTCAATTTCCCAAAATTATGAAGCAAAGAGAAAATTATCCTTTAATAAAATCACTGTCCCTACAACCGCAACAACACTTTGAAAAACTTTTTATATTCATTTAATTATCACAGTTTTTTATAATCAGATACTGAAATTTTTTCAAAACTTTCTTCATATATAAGTAGGATTTTCAAAATTTTATAATCAGATTAAAAGTGATTCTGAAACAAGAGCTGTTCAAAAACAAAAGAACATTCTAAAGTTTTCTTTGTTTTTTTTTAATAAATTTTTTTTTTGTTATTTGTGTTATACTAATCCAGAACTTTTATCCTGTCTAGACGACAATCTTGTATGTGAATGATTTGATTTTGATTTTATTAATTTTATTGTTTTTCTTTCATTATTTTTAATGGTTTAAAATTATTACAAAATAAAAGAATCGGAATAACAAAAAATAAAATGAATAACTTTTCATCAATCACATAATATCCTTTTTTTTTGTTTTATCACTGTTATTATCCTTGTTTATTAATTAAATTACACATTAAAAAGTAAAACACATAAAAAAGTAATAAATAAAAAATTTATGTAAAAACTTTAAAAAAATTATTTGAATAAAGAAAAAATCCTTAAAAATCCTTATTACATAAAATATTAAATGAGTCTTATTTAAAACACACAATAACGGTAAATATTTCAGAATAACAAAATTCAAATTTTAAAGCACACAATTTCATTTCATAATAAAAATTCACTTAAAATTATTATTTATTAAAATAAATCACGCAAAAATTTGTAATTGGGAATTCTTAAAGAATTCCCAAGGAATTTCCACAATCAATTTTCTTATTCAATTTCAAATGCATTTTAATTGTACAAAATTAATTTTTTCTTTTTTCTTTTTATTTTTATATTTATTTTATTTCATATTTTTTTTATTCTGTCTATTTTTTACTCACCCGCAGAGCTGTTTACACACCAAATGCCAGTCTTGAACTACACTATATGTTTTTTGTGTATCAGATTCGCTATCACCACCAATAATATATCTTTTATTATTTGATTTAAAAAAATTCTTTCTTTGAATTTTGTAACTTTTCCCATTAATATCATCAGCAGCATCATCATCACCATCATCTTTATCAACATCAGTAGTATTATTATTCCTTTCAATATTATTATATTTAACATCATCATCATCATTTTTATTTAAATTTAGTAGTGTCAGGGACGATGCATTCTTTATAAATGTTGGTATTGTTATTGTATATGTATTATTAATGCGATTGTATTGATTTTTGGCATGCGCATTTTTTAAAAATAATATAACCAATAGTAGAAATAGAATTGTAAGATTTTGCTATACATAAATAAAAGAAAGGAAAAAGAAAATTGTCATTAATATTATATAAGAATTATTTGTTTTCTTGAACACATTTATATAATTTTATATAAAAGTGTTATATTAATAAACTGCGTAAAATGCAGAGAAATTTTCTTATAATAATTTGTTTTTGTATTTAAAGTAAATAAAATTTAATTTTATTATAATTTTTTGCATTTTTTTTTTTATAAAAGTAAATATTTTCTATATATTACATAAGTTGAGCAGTGGTGTAGAAGAATTTTATTATATATATATATATATGGATCTTATGTATTCAATATTTTGGGATATAGAGCGCAAAAAAACTAAAGTTCATGTGAAATTTTTGGTTAGGGTGCGGCCTTTATAGGAAAAAGCTTTTCTAAAGGACCTTTTAAATATTATGCCTAATATGTACATCTATGTGTATTTAAGATTTGTGTATGTATATGTATGAGCATATATAATTTACTTGTATATAGGTATATTTTTAAAAATCCCAGGTTTTTTTTAAACTATTGTTTTTGTAATAAATTAATTGTGCTTTTTTCTTTTATTTTTTTGTAATAATAAAGATTAAAATTTGTGTTTAGAATTTAATAAAGTGCATTTGTTTAAATATAGTATGCAAAATATAATTTAATAACAATACATAAGTATATACACAAATATACCACCTTGTTTTATAATATACTATTATATACAAGTGTTATATATATACAAGTGTTATGCATATACCAGTATAAGAGAAAAACCCTTGTTACTAAATTTGTTTTTTTTTTGGTCACTTTAATTAGGTTTCTAGAAATGAACTTTCTTAGTACATTTCTATACATTTAACCTCATATTTTTGGACAGCGTTTCTTAAGTGTCTAACTCCCTTAAGGATATCTCCGGTTTCATACTTGGAACAGTGGTATTGTAGGAGGGGTGTGGAGAGGCCACAATTAGTCGCGAATGGCTGCGGTGACCTGGAAGATACTCCTGCCCAACTTGGTTCCCTTGAAAAAAATATACAAATCTACAATCTACCTCATATTTTCATAGGGAACATTTCTGTACAACTACCTCTTTCAACTTATATGAACTTTTTGTTAAGTTATAAGAAACTTCTATGCGAATATATTATTCGAGATTTACCAAACGAAATGGTATATTTAGAAATTTGAAAAATTTTATTACACATATAAAAGTAAAGTAGCATAAATATAATATTAATTTTTCGTAACAAGTTTTCTAAATATTATTGATCCCACTTCACTACTTCCTACACTACTTCAAAATAATATCAAATGTAACCAATTTGTTTAAGGTACATATAAAGCTAACTTTACATTTATGTAACCCATTCTTCCGGTAGTTACAACTTTCCAAAAACCAATTTCGTAACAATTACGTAACTAATTTAGAGTCTCCGGGATTAATTGGTAAGTGAATTTGTACAGTTAGTAACGTCATTTATACGGACAAAATTTATGATTACATACACTGAAGTGTGTAAAGTTAAAAATTGAAAATTGATTTGCACAATCGGGCCTTGGTATCTTTGTTTTATATTTTTTGTTTATAAAATTGCTTTATTTTTTACTCATTTTTTACATTGGCCGCATTGCATACAATAAGGGAGGTTATGTGATGGCACCAAATTTTGCATATCGAATTTTCGGTGGAAACGCACTTTTCCATGGTATAGGCAGGCGTAAATAAACTATTTTTAGAGAGATACCGGTCTGTCACTCAGTCTGTTTATCTGTTTGTGTGTGCACACCTGAAGTTCGACTGAACCAATTTTGATTTTGAAATTTATTTTGGCTATGTCACAGATTTTTCTTTTGACATATATCAACAGACGGAAACTAAACTTTTTTGCTGTCAGTTATGTGCTGACAACATCAGATTTTTTCAAATAATCTTCATATTTGTTGAGTCCATAAAACTTTCACGTTAAATAACATTCAATAATTTTAAGTTTAAGCACACATTTGTATTCAATTTGGGATCTATACATTTTAAATTCTTTTTTTATTTTATTTCACAATTATTTTTAAATATTTGCATTAATTCAATGTCATTCACAATATTCCGAAACATGTTATTTTATAGAACGAAATCCCTAAAAAAATTTTTCCAAATCCTTACAAAATTTTTCCAAATCCTTAAAATATTTCATTCTTCTTAATATAAATGTATGTATATGTATATTTTATAAACATTAACACAATTGTACAATTTTATTATATTGAATTAGGTATAAGTGAGTATTACAATTTTGTTTGACCTTGTAAAAATGTACAAGTATGTAATGTTGTTGTAAATATGAAATTTATACAATTTGTATTTTGGAACAAATTCTTATAAAATATTATACGTGTATACATATGTGCATTATATGAACATCTTATAATAATGTCATAAAAATATAAGGTTCTTAAAATATATAAGTACACAATTATCATTATCAAAATACACAATATTACAAAGAGTTCTACATAAAGTTGTTGTATATCAAATTTGTGTTATTGAGAATGTTTTAAATGAATGAATGTTATTTTACAGTTTGTATACATATATGTAGATGTAATGTGCAAAATTTTTTATATAAAACTTTTTCTAACAGTATTATTATTTTAAAGCACTTTAGTATAGCATGCTTGTACTTTATAAAAGAAATTTCTTATTCTTTTCAAACATTAAAGAAATTTTTTTTCAGATTTGGGTCATTTTATAACAAACTTTTGTAATTACATTTACTTGTAAATTGCCATTTATGCCATTATTGTAGTAATAATATTCAATTTTTATAGTTTAATAACATATTTTGCATGCGAGAACAATACGAGAACTGAATAATTTTATATTTGATTAATTATGCGAATATGTACGAGGTTACACAATACATTGCATATTATTCTGTTATACGGCAAAAATTAAATTAATTATAACATTGACAAAATATATTTACACACGTTACTAAACACAGCCTAAGAAATGTTGTGTAAAATTTTACTTCAGAGATTTGTTGTGTGCAGTTTGCGAAATGATCTGATACCTCATTAGTGGAAGCTAATAATACGAGTATATAATATTTTGAGGCACAGTGCAGTTTAATAAAATTCAGCCTTTTCAGGAATGTGTAAGAGTTTTTCTGCTTCAACAGTTAATTTAATATATGAAAGTAAAATATATTTTGTACGTTCAAGAGGAAAATCAGTTCTTAAGCCTTTATTTACCTGCACATTCTGAAGTCCTTACACGTAAGAGATTTTACCAGCAGATAAAATAGAATAGAGCACCTATTCAGTTAACACTTGTATTAAGCAAATAACTGAGTAGAACAAAATCATCCTGGAAAAATTCAGCATCGGATCTTACAAAAGTTTTCGAAATTTTATTTGAAATGGAATTCATAAATTGGACTAATAAATACACAAAACTGTAAAAATTACTGTGATTTCACAGAGAGGCGGGGTAATGGATATATGAGACCATCTTTTTATTTCTTGATACAAGTTTCATTATTCAGAATTTAAAAATTTTATTGAGTATCCCTTTACTTTTAACAAACAATTAATATTTTTCAAAATGGTCCAAGTTTTTTCAGCAAGACTGTACATATATACCTACATAACATACATTTTTATTGATAATATTTTACATAAATATTATTTGCACGAAGAAAAAATATAATTTTATTTAATTTTTTTTTTTTACTCGCAAAAGTAAGGAACCGGAAATATTTAACAAAGGTATATGAGTTTATTTATTTTTGGTTTTTGCTATTATTTGTTTATGACGTACAATTTAAATTCATAGAGATAACGAAGAATTACCTTTATTCTGATAGTAGAGCTATAAACGTATATATATATAAATATAACAATAATATAACAATAAATATAACAATAATGATTTACATATATAGAACAGAAAATCATATTAAAGCCACAAAAATTTGAAAGGAAATTTTTGTTTTTTGTTAACTAATGTTGAATTAGTGTACCTAGATGAATATCTCTGTATTCGAGATACAAAATTTTACCACAAAAATATATTATGTACCTTTATAATTTTATAGTATATAAGGTAGAGTTGTATAAGAGTTAAAAATAAAAATATTTTGAATGAGAAATGGGGTATTTAAAAAGGATACAAAATTTTGTGTACATATGAAGATTTTTTTTTTTTAAATAAAAATTATTATTTAGGCACGAAAGGATTACCTAATTTAAAATAATTTTAAAATTAAAAAGTTTTTTTTCCTTTTAAAAAGGATGGAATAAAAATATTTATTTTAAATTATGTAAATTGATTTTTTAAATTAATTTAGATCTAAAATTATAGTAATTTAAAATTAAATTAATTTTTGTGTTAAATTTTATTTATAAATTATTATTTTTGTAATTTCATTTAAACGAGACAAAAATGGAGTTGACCTTATCAACTCTGTGATACCCGTACGAATTTGTTATCCTATGTGCGAATAAATATACCTTAACTGACTATGGGACAGACTATGACTTTAAGTTGCGTATTACCATATTAATTTATGCAAAATACAATTTTGCATAAATTCAGTACAATTTATTTTTCAAAATACTGTGTGTGCCAAACTACTGTTGAAGTTGTATGGCAGCTACCAGAAGGAGCCAAGCAATTTCAACGAGTTTTATCAAACACATTTGCCCTACTAATATATTCGTTTGTGTGAAATTTCAACACCACAGCTTTTATAGTTTCTGAGATAAAGCCAAATAACTTTGGAAGTTGTATGGCAGCTACCAGAAGGAGCCAAGCAATTTCAACGAGTTTTATCAAACACATTTGCCCTACTAATATATTCGTTTGTGTGAAATTTCAATACCATAGCTTTTATAGTTTCTGAGATATAGCCAAATAAATTTTGAAGTTGTATGGCAGCTACCCGAACCGGTGCCCCGATCATGTCGAATTTAAATAGAGTTCTGGCACTTACTACAATAAATTATTTGTGAAAATTTAGTGAACTTAGCTCAATTAGTTTTTGAGTTATCGCTGGGACGGACGGACGGACGACGGACAGACAAAGCTAAATCAACTCAGAATTTGGCGCTGATCAAAAACATACACTTGAGTCTATATCTAACACCGTTATTTCTTAGCGTTACAAACGGTAAGGCAAATTTAGTATACCCTTCGAACATACGTTCGTACAGGTATAAAAATGGTATAATTATAATTATGAAAAGAGCCCAAGATCATGTTTCAAGTTGTTGTCAGTTCAAGTTGTCTTCAAAATTTTAACTTAACAGCTATACTGTCGTAAAGCAATATAATATGCCGAACTTTGAAATCAATACGCAAATTATTTCGTGATTCATACAATGACACACAAAGTAACCTTTATTTTACAGCTGCCATAAAATTTATTTATTTCTGTTAAAAGAATTTCGACCAATTACCGATTTTATTGAACCACATAATTAAATTAATAATAATAAATAAAATAATTTTTAATTGAAAATATTTTTTGATATATTCCGACAATTTTCAATATTGTACTTTGATAATTTTTTCAATTATCCTTAATATTTAATAGAAAATTTGAAAAAATTAAAGTTAATAAAGTAAAAAATTTGTTCTGTATGTATATAGTATATAATATCTTAAATATTTATTTTCATTGCATATTTTTAGGATAAACGTCTAAGTTTTGCTATATTTCTACACTTTCTTCTATAACTACAATTCTTATACATTGAAATCGTTTGATTTATTTCATTGTTTTTAAAAATAAAATTATTACAAGTGTAAATTTCATTGTTTAATGTCAACATATTATGATTTTATGCTCTGGCGCCACGCTTAAAAGCTCGTATAAAATTTAAATTTAATTTAGTAAACAAACAAACAAGAAGTGCCTAAAAACAAATCATTTTTATTATGTTAGTAAGAGGTAAGAACAAACAAATCACTATAAATAATTTATTATGTTACGTATACGTGAAGTTTGAAATGGTAAACAATTTATTTTACACCTGTAAATAATATTTATGATTCATATACATTATTGCGAATTTTTTACAAAGCAATATAATTTTGTGAGAAAAAAATTATTAACTCTAAATTATAGAGGTTTTCATGTGATAAAATGAAGTATTATAATGAAGACGACGTTTTTAGGCATCTCGTAATTTTTTAACAAAAACTCCAATTTCATGTAATTTATTATTCTGAATTTTAATTTACAAAATTCATTTCTAAAACAGAGTGCGCGAATTCATAGTTTAACAACCTCTTTGAAGTAAACCAACCCCAATTACATTTGCTTATCCAGTTAAATAAAGGCCAATGTTAATAATTACTAAATATAACACTTTTTACCACATTTAACACTAGAAATATTTCTAAATTGTAACAAAAGAATAACTTACTTTTAATAAATTAAATAAACCCATTTTAATTAATTTTTTTTTTATTAAATCTCAATTAATATTTTGTAATTTATTGTAAAAAATTAATTTCTGTACAATTTTTGCAAATTATTGATTATTTTTTAAAAAACGATAATAAACACTTTTTTCATATAAATTTTCCGAATAATTCGAAACAACATACTAATTCTATTAGAGCTCGATTTTAACTGAATTAAATTCGAAATATTCAATAGGTTTTTGTCAAATTCGATACATAAATAAATTATATTTTCACATTAAATATTAATAAATAAAAAGAAAAACATTATTATTATAAAATATTATTTTTTACGATAATAATTTTTTCTGATAATAAAATTAATAATTGATAAAAAAAAAATAATGATATGCAAATAAATTTATAAAAAGCGTGTGATTAAATATCAGTAAATTTTTTGTTATCTGATAAAAATACCATCAAAAACTTATAAGACAAGCACATGTATGTGGGGGGGGGAAAAGGGTTAAACAATCAAAGCAAATATGACTAAATATAATAAATAATGTGGAACTAAAGTGAAAGATATGTATTCAAGTGCGTGTTTAATAGGTGCAAATAAATTGGCAAAAAAAAAATTAAATGATATAAAATTGAACCTTGCACTGAATGAGTCTAACTCTTCAACATTATGTATTTGTTTTGTGTGTCATACGTACTTTGTATGTAATTGAAATTTTCGATTATTCTATGTAATAAAAAATTGAAAATTGTAATTATCGATTAGTATAATTGAAATTCAATAAAACCGAACAACATGTGCACGTACATGTGTATTTTATTATTTTAATTGTAAAACACCTTATACACATAGAGTTTTTGCGGAATAAAGTAATAAATTACTTTTTTTTACAATACTATGCGATAATAAATTTTAAGTGGTTATGTTTTAGTTTTTTATTAATATTTCGTTGTTGAACAGATGTTAAAAACTACGGTTTCGTATTAGTTTTTTTCTTTAATGAAAAATGGATTTTCATTTAATTTTAAACATAAATCTGTATTCTAAGGATTATGTAAGAGGTACAGATAACAATAAGCAAAATTAGCCTGATATAGATTTGCAGCCAGTTAGATTTTGCCTAAAAATTAATTTCCATCGATCTGGACCTAAGCCGGCCTTCCATCAATATATGGAGGTGCAGTGGTGAAAATCCAATTATTAGCTCCAACGCAGCGGTAGGAGCAGTTCGCAGTGCTCTTGTTACTGCCAACTTGGTTAACCTTTGAGGCCTCTGCAACTTGACCTGCACCCTTGTCCGCTGAACCTGACGGCACCATATGATAGTTGCATAGGTGACGATGGGGGTAGCAAAGACGGTGCTATCCTAGAACTGATGTCTAAGGGTCATGCCCTGAGACATCAGTCCTAGGATAGCAGTCCATAAGAGAACGTACATACCCGTTGTAATCCACCGGATGATTCTGTCTCTATAGGTATATTTTATTAGAGCCGATCATCAAAGCTTACCGTCTTCATCTCTTTAGAATAACCAATATGTTCACTAAACAGAACTTACTGAACACCCTTACTTTTTTTCATTTTTCTTATTACACTACTTACAACGTCAATAAGATGGTAACACATAATATTATGCATTTTCTCATTAAAATTAAGGTTATATTTTGTTAATAATTCTTCTAATTCAATACTGCCTTCCTCATTTTCCTCCTAAATGTATGCAACATGATACATTTCCATGTTTGCATATAAAAGTATTAGATTTAGTAATACAAGAATGTGAAGTCTGAAAATTCTGGAAAATTCTGAGGCTCAATCACGATGCAATAAGTATTTGAAATCTCAATATTAAATAATTTTTAAACGAGATTCATGTAATTCAATCGGAAATCATGCTTTAAATACGTGCTATTTATCTAAGTAACAAAATCAGTGATATCACATTAAAAATGTTAATTACGGATTAATCAATTGGAGGAAAAATTTAGGAAATATTAATTTTATTGAATACTTCTGAGACAAAGTTCAAAAACATTGAAAGTGTCTATGTAAACATGTTTACGACACCATATAAAAATTCTCTGAAATTTTGTATTGCAAAATTCACTTCAGTTAGCTTTGAAAACAAAAATTTATATTTAAAGTGTTTTCGTGTACAAAATATAGAGCTCTGCAAAAATTCGGTTAAATCTAGTTCATATTTTTGATTAAATTGCGTTGGAAATCATCGCTTACCACTTAAGATTCAATTTATCTTTATCATCATAATATTATGGCAATTGGTTTAACATGTTTTCTTTTATCAATTTCATTTTTAATCGAAATATTCATTACCATACCATACTGATAATTTTTATTATCTTCAACTTCCGTTTAATCTACCGTCATGTGCTAGTAAAATTGTACTTAAAAAAAACGTAACCCGTTTATGTATTCTTTAATTATATTAAACTTTTATATAGAAATGTCGCCCCAATTAAATATGAAGCAATGTATTAAATTGCAATATAAATATTTGGTAAGGCTCTTACCAATCACAGCAGATCATTTACAAAAAAATATAAATATCTTACTTTAAGAAAAAAATCCCTAAAAGTATGCAAAATATTTTTAGGAAATATGAGAATTTTTAAAAAAGAATTGGCTAATTACTTTCATTTTCATGTCTATCGGTTCGTTTGTATTATGTTTGAGATTAATATTCAGATAGAAAACTGAAATTTTGTACGAAAGAATACTAGAAAAATAAAAGATTTAGCCCTTCAAATCAATCGACATCTTAAACCGGTTTTAATTCTGAAGCCATTTTTCTTCTACACGGCAACTCTTTGACAAATTTGAAATTTTTTCATAGATATAAAACTTCTTTTACTCTCCTATTTCTCTCGAGTTTTCATTCTTAAAAATTTTAAGATTGACATTTATTGCAAAATGTCAATCCTCGAACGGCTACATTTTAGACTTTGGAAGCTTTATTGAACATTTATAACAGAAATATAACAGTATTCGTCTTCTTATCGAATAATATACTCTTATAGCTTATTGTTAAAGCAAATGACCTAGCCGATATCATCAATGATACAAACTATGCCTTTGGTCAGCAACAATTTTGTTTTTTCTTGGGGGTTGTGAAAGTTTTGCAAACGAATGGTTCGATAGACGGACAATGAACTAACAATTTTTTATTTATACTATATCACTGTTTTCTACACTTAGTACATAATTAATTTTTATTAGGTCAGTTCGTATTTATTGCACGTAAGCGGCCTAATCAATAAGGTTAAGTTGATTTAAATAAATACGTATACAATGTGCAATAAGTGTGACCCTTCAAATTATAATCTTCTTTAAAGATTTGATTTAATTGTAAATGAGTATACAATATTTTAAACGATGAGATTTAATTAAGTAGAAGTAGAGTATAACATGATAAAATAATCTTATATAGTTACAAATTGCTTGCTAATTATCTTATCAATGTTTGTGTAATTGTTATTAATTACTCAGTCGATATCCAAAGCTTATATGAAAGGCGTAGATAGTAATTAAAGTAATTGTATTAAAATCAACAAAGTATAGTTGAATTGGCGCCTTTTATTTAAAAAAAAAACTCAATTTTATCAGTAAACTCAGTGTAATAACTTCAATTAATATTACCCATAACAATGAACATTCATAGGTCGGCATGGTTGCTCTTGTTTCTGAGTTAAACATTTATTAATTCACACATAGCAATAAAACAAATAGGTTCGGACGTCTATATAAATGCAGGGTTAGCGTCAACTTATTCTCTTGAGGTATGCTACACAATTTGCTGATGAAGGGAAGGAAATTGCAGATTATTTTGGACTGAGGTGAACGGCCTTAATCAAATAATTAAAAGAATTAGTTGTTTTACTGTTGACTAATAAGGAAACTCTTTATATTATTTAAGGAATTTCTAAAAATTGGGATGTCAGAAGCACATAGCTGTAGTTAACCTACCCAGTGTATTTGCCTACAAGTCAAAGAATCTCCCACATTTAGAAAAAAATGTAAAAATTAATATTAATCAAATATCGATAAAAATTCAACTCTAGATCTTTTTTAGGAAGACTTAAAGAAATTCTGAATTAAAATAGGTTTTGTAGTGGGAGAATAAGCAATGGTAATTTATTTTTTTTGTATTTTGCTAACAAAGAAATTCTTGATTTTTTTTTTGTTTTTTTTTTTTATCTCATTTTACTTCTCCAACATTAATTCTCTCTTAGAATTTAACAAAAAAAAATAGTTTTTCATTTGACCTAGATAATTTTCTTGTTTTTTTTTTCTTGTATTCTTTATGAATTGCAAACAAGGAAAATTTTTCTTTTTTTGTTTTCATTTTTATTCAGTTATCCTTGTTTTCAGCATAATTTATTTAGGATACACAACATTTTGAAATTTTTGATGACGTCAGACATTTGTGCTATACAGTTTCGTTGAATTTTTCAACTAAATTTTAATGTTAATCGCAAATAATGTGAAAAACTGTATAAAGTTCGGCAACTAAATTAGATTAATGGTTTAGTATCATAAATCAGGTATCGAGGATTTAAATTGCAAAACAAATACCGAGAATATTTCTTAGTAATCATTAAAATAAAGAACAAAACTCGGTAGGCACGAAACGTTTTCAAATTTTTTTTAGAAATTTGTTACTTCCAAATCGTTAGTCCAAAAATTTATGTTGTTGTAACGTTATAATTGGCAAGATCTCGGTATAATTTGGTATACCCTGTATTCTTATCATGATAACTTCATTAGCATTACACTGAGATGTACCTAGCGAGTATTGTATTATTTTCGCTGAGTTTGAAAATTTTAGGAAGAAACTAAAACCAGCCCAATAAGTGTCTTATAGTATTTCCGTCATGCGTATTAACTCTTGCAAAATCCGTTGGGAATGATTTCAATGCTGTAGCTGACGTGATTTCATTCAATATGAAGTATTTGAAAGTTCTTCTGGAGGGAATGTTGCCAGTTAAATAACCTTCAATTCAAAGTCCTTTGCTACAC